GAAATAATGTTCTGAAATAAAAAAGATGTATATAACCCACCTCATTTATCATTTCTATTTCTCTAAATGTCAATCTGTCCAACCAATCTACTTTCACCATGTGTCCCTGTCGATGAGCTTTGGTGAGCTGCAGAAAAAAATATAATGGAGAAAACCTTAACATAGATTTTAAAGAAAGGACAATAAAAATGATATAGGTTAAGCATCCCTAATCTGAAAATCCAGATCTGTAATGTTCCAAACTCCAAAACTTTGTCGACGTGACACAAGTGGAAAATTCTAAACCTAACCTCAAGTGGGGTCACGGTCAAAACAAAGGCACACTACAAATAATGAATTATTTTCAGTCTATATATAGAAAGGTATATATAAAAAATAAATGAATTTTCTGTTTAAATGTGGGCCTCATTCATAAGGTATCTCATTATGTATATGGAAAAATTCCAAAATCCAAAATACTTCTGGTTTCAAGCATTTCAGAACAGGGATACTCAACCTGTAACATCAATTACACATATGAAATGTTCTTATACACATCAGAATCCTTATGTAACCGTTGTGATAAAAAACTTGGCATGAAAAAAATTTTTAAGAAAAGCCATTAAAAAAATTAAAAAATATAAAAGATCCACAATCTTGCAACGCTTATTATGCTAAATTACAGACATTTCTTACATTTACCATTTTTACTATTATAGAGAGAAGAAATTATAATAGCAACTCCTCTAAGAAAGAGTATGTAAACCACTTTTTCTTTTGTCCACATTTTTAATCTAACAAACATTATAAAAATGGCAGTCACAGACACATATTTCTCTAGCATGTATAAATTAAAACTTTAGGCACATACATATGCATGCATGTTTTTATTTTAGGAAACAATGTGAAAATATTTAAAATACCTAGAGTTGCTGTTGGTAGAGTACAATGAGATCTTACATACCAATCTACCCTTAGTTTCATAAATTATATAACAATATATCAACTATTCAAATCCACAGAGAATTCACAATAAGTTCCAAGAGCCTCAAATTAGAATTAGTTTTTGTATTAGAACTAGCTTTGTATTAGAAACCCCAGCTTCGTTTAATGTATCAAAACCTTTCTTTCTAAACAAATTCATAGCATAAAGCACAACTGGATATCAAAGTTTCATATAATAGATTATCTATATTTGTTATCTTCCTCTTCATTGGCCATGTCATGACAATATTCTTATAAGGACAACACTACCACCAATTATTATCTCTCTCACAGAACTAAAATTTTCAGCATCAATATTCATTATCTTCCTACACTCTCACCACAATTACAAGGATATACTATTTTGGAAATGAAAACAGTAACTGCACACAAAAAGTATGAAGTTCATTTTTTTAATATTTTTTTTTCAGTTGTTGATGGACCTTTATTTTTATTTATTTATTTGTTTCTATGTGGTGCTGAGAATCGAACCCAGTGCCTCACACATGCTAGGCAAATGTTCAACCACTGAGCCACAACCCCAGCCCCACTGAGGTTCATTTTAATACATAAATAATATCAACAGCATTTTTATAAATAAACTCAAAAAATTTTTTATCTAAGGTAGTCTCTGAATGAACATGCATAAAAAGGTATCAATAAGTGCTTAGGCTAATTACTGTCACAAAGCAGGGAGTAAATATGTTGTTGAGTAATTAATGGTAGAGCATTAGATAAATATGCTAGCAATATGAAAGAGCCCAAGAAATGGACAATGAGGGAATCAAAGAAGATCAGGCAATGTGTACTAAAAGAAAGAGTACTAGACTGCGAGCCAGATACCTGGGTTCCAAACATAACACTCCATTTTCAAACTCTATCATTTTGAACCTGCAACAATAAGTTGAAAGTATTATATTCTATTCCTATTCTCCAAATTTAAGTAAGATAATGTATATAAAACATGACAGGTAGTCATGACAATAGCATCCATAATGACTATTCCTTGTAGTTCATTAAAGGTTTATATTCTTACTCACTTGGCAACATGTTCCAAACTGGTTTTCAAGATAAATAAATTTATAAAAGGCAACGTTACATCCTTCCCTTGTAAGAACAAAGTTAATAGTATAAAAAGTAAAATCAGTTTATATAATAAAGAAAGAAGGAAAAAATAACATTTACATCCAAATCTTGGGCACTTATTATAATCACTCTTCTAAGAAGATAGTTTTGACCCTAGTTTACAAATGCTTGTTAATTACTACTATGAAGTAGCAGAGCTAGAACTTAAATCCAAGGTTTTCAAAGCCCATTTTCAGTTGGGCACAGCAATTCACACCTGTAATCTCAGTGACTCAGAAGGCTGAGACAGGCGATCAGAAGTTTTAGGCCAGTTTCAGCAACTTAGGGAGACCCTATATCAAAATTTTTAAAAAATAAAAAAAAAAATTAAGAAAGAACTGGTAGTAAAGCTCCCCTAGGTTCAAGACCCAGTACATAAAAATAAAAAGGCCCATTTTCCTTCTATCAGTCTTTGCCACTCATTCTCTATATTCATGCACTATTACTAAGAAACTTTAGTTCAACTAATTTCTCTCATTTGTTGAACAGTAGTTCCATATTCATAATACAATAGTTCTTCTCCCACTAATTTATTATGTGGAAAGAACTGGCAATAAAGTTTAGTTGTGGAAAATGTAGTGAGGCCTTTTCTGTCCCTTTTTAATTACTCAGACAAATCAGAAATGTCTGATCAGTATGGCAGCACTAAAACTGATAAAGCCATTATGGAGGGCAAGTTGAAATCATCATCCTGGAAACATTCACATTTGTTCTTTTTTTTTTTTTTTTTTTTTTTTTTTTTTGTAGAAGGACACAACACAATGCCTTTTTTTTTTTTTTTAAATGTGGTGCTGAGAATTGAACCTAGGTCCCACCCGTGCTAGGCGAGCGAGCGCTCTACCGCTGAGCCACAATCCCAGCCCTTGTTCTCATTTTTAATACAAAAAAAAAAAAAAACCACATGGAAGAACGCAAATATCCACTAACAGTGGGAAATATTAAGTAAACCATGATATACACACACTACAAAATGCCAAAATTAGAAAGAATAAGAAAAATCTATATACTCAGTAGGGTAAAACAGTGTTGAGAGCTCAAGTAAGTACAAAATCATAGGTACCATTTACTCTATGATGACTACTTACGTATGTATTTCCTGCATTCGACTTTGAGATTAGGAGCAGAAATACTAGATATTTCTCTATTTAAATTAGTTTTATAATTTCTTGAGAACTGCACAGTTGTTACCCTTTAGTAATAGATACACATAACGGGTGGCTAGAACAACTTATATATATCTATTACTAAAGAACAAACCACCCCAAAAGTAAGTGACTTATAATAGTATTCATTTTGTATTTCTCCATAAGTCATGAGAAATTACAAAATGAGAGACCCTCTTGATCTTATTTACAATTGCTCAGGAGAGCAGTAATTTGGTGGCTGGGGTTGGAGCATTCAAGATGGCTGCACTCACCTGTCTGATACCTTCATATTGAAAAGGGTGGGCTTAGCTGGGATATGAGGGTGGTGGGGCCACACTCCTTCCCTATTTGTTCTCTCTTGGTGGTGTTCCACCTTCGGTGGTTTTTCAACATGGTTACCACAAAAGAATAGTGTAGTAGCTAGGTGTCCTCAAGAAGTGCAAAAACAAAAGCTGCCTAGGTGTCTTACCTAGAGCAGCACAGCATCACTTTTGCAGTACTATATCAATGAAAATAAGTCTCAAGGCTAAACAAGATTGACTGTGGAAGAGTATGAATATCAGAAGGCATGCTTCATTGACAGCTAGTTAGAGACTAGCTAGTACAAGACTTATTAGTCCAAACACAAAATACAATTGATTGTATACTTGCTCCTTTGCAATTGAACAGAGTTTAAAAATGGCAAAGTCTATAGACAATAGGTAAAGTCTAGAATCAGCTGTGACAACTACAAAATGATCAGTCTCTGCCTTCTTCAAATAATCTCCCTCATACTTCAAAATAATCCAGCCACACAATCTCTTTTCGTTCTTAGGACTAAAAAAACTTTTCTTTTTAGGGGCTTAATGAAATACTTAATAACTGTGAATAATTAAGTGGAAAATATTTTAAAATTGTATAGATTTATAAAACTATAAAGCACTACTAAAATTCTAAGCAACTATTCTAATTTGCCCATAACCTATATCACTTCATCTCTTATTGATGCTGATAACAATGTATTCAGACTTGGATAGTTTTCACCAGTCTAAAACAGCTTCTATTTAAATAGCCCCAATCTCAGAACTTCTACAGATATTGAAGACCAAAAATAAACTTTAAAAACATAGGTAAAATTAGTTACTGACATAATAATTTATGTTTCATTTTTGGGTCTGAAATGTCAGTAACCTACATTATTTCCAAGAAGGAAAAATCTGCATTCTGTTAAACAGCAGGATAAAAGCAGTACAATCTGTTTTAAATTGCTTATGAGGAAATCATCCTCACTAGGGTGCCCATTCTAGTAAGGAGATAGGTCAAGAAAACAGTAAAAGTGTCATTCACTCTTTTTTAAGGAACACACAGGTTTCTAAAGAATTCACAAGAAGTCATATAGATTTTGAATGAAAAGCCTACTGTCACAAAAATAATGACACAATTATTGGGCCCTAACTTCTCCAAGAATTAAACAGCAAGGGGTTATAAAAGCTATTTAAATAAAAGAAACCCCAAAACCAAATAACATGCCCAGAAAACTTTTTGGAGTACTAATCATGTATTATCAAATTTGATGGAAAGATAGGAATACGTGCTTGAGGAAGATGTCTCATATCAGTGGGTGTTTAATAATAAAGTATCACAGACGAATCTACAAGTAGGCCAACTTGCCACACTGTATCTAGACTAAAAACAGCAGGGAAAGGGAATGTTAAACAGTGATCCTTGGGAACAGACAGTCCTCCAGGAGAACCATAACTCTCAGAGGTCACTGCTGCTTAATTTTACTTGCCTTATTGCACTGTTTTAAAAGGAGCAAGTATACAGACTTTAAAAATGGCAAAGTATACAGAGCTTTATTCATGCTAAAGCTATGAAAGGACAGTAAAACCTAGCACTCATGGTTTAATGAAAA